AAATACAAGGCCCTACTTGTGTAGTTCTGCCATTGTCGACCCTGAACTCCACGTTCCAGCCACACAGAAATACTGGCAATGTTCAAAGGCTCTATCTTGTCTGTTTCATCTCTGACAGGATGCTGCGTTTGCCCGAAACGTCCCTCCCTCCTCGTTCACCTGGCAGCTCGTGCTTCGCACTGGTCGGAGTCCCTCTGCTCGACCTGTGCCTCCAACCCGTCAAACCAAACGCTGCACTTGGGTCACTGGATGGGTCTCGCCCAGAGCCGTGCAGGTTCCCACCTGCGTGCCTCCCCACCTCCAGCAGCGCCTCTGCGAAGGAGGGCGGACCGCGACCTCGCAAGTCTATGACCTTCGCGCCCGGTGCTCCCCGGCTCGGCCCCGGCCCTCCGACCCCGGAGCTCCCCTAGCCCCGGGTGTGCAAGAAGGGCCAGGCGGAAGGCGACACTGCGGGCCACCTACCATTCTCTCCGGCGCTCCCCAGCTTCCTGCCGGCCCAGCCGTCTGCGCAGGAGGCCCGGCCGCCTCCTGCTCCAGTCCAGCCACTCCGTCCTCGTCCTCAGAGTCGGCTCCTGGGACACACGCCCCGGGAGGGGCGCAGGGGAGGTGGCGACAGGTCCTGCCGACGGAACTCCAACTCCCGGCGTGCACCAATTCGCCCGGGAGCCAACCGGACCCAGGCCCCGCCCCCTTCCCTCCCCCACTCCGACGCGCATAGCGCTCTCGGGGACCGGCAGGACCCGCACGCGCCTCCTTCTCCTCCTCCGACTCCGAAGTGCGTGGACCACCCGGGAGTCGACAGTTCTCAGGCCCGCCCTCCTCCTACAAATCCCATCGTGCACTGCGCAGCCCGTGGGCCAACAGTATGCGGGTACTCCTTACCTTCCTACAAATCCCGACGAGCACCGCGCCTCCCCGGGCCGACGGAACCCTGCCCCACCCTCTTAAAGGAGCCGTGACTCCGTCCTAGCCCTGTCCGCCGAGAGCGCGTTCAGTTGAGGGGTCGAGCGGCCTGGGCCCTCCCAGTGCCCGCCCCGGTCCTTGTCCCTGCCCCAGAGCCGGCACCGCTGCCTGCGAAGGGATGCGGGAAAGCCGCGTTCCTGTCCGCCCCTCACCTCCTGGCGCCGGAGAGCCGGGCCCAGGACTCGCGCCCTCCGGAACGTCCCGGTGAGCGCTGCGTGGGGTTCGGGCTAGAGGCTTGGAGCCTCCGGTCCTGCCGGAAGTTCGGGCCCTCGGGGCTCGCTCCCGGGGGTCTCCCCTTCCCCGGGTCTCCCCTGTTCTTCTTCTCAAGGGTCTGTCTCTCAGACCCGGATCCTTCAGATCGCTAAGCACCGCTCTCCGTGTCTCCGCCTGCGCGCGCGTCTGGCCCTGCGGTGTGTGAGGGTGATTGTTCAGCGTCCTTCACAACCTCTTGTAAAGACAGATGGACCTGGTGGTGGACCCCGGGATTCTGTTCAAGAAGGTCTGATGGGCCAGTGATGGGACGTGCAGTCTTTATCCGTGAAGTTGGGGAAGCGACCCAAGTCAGTGGTTAAACGACTGGGTGGGTTTACAGACCCCCAGCCGGCCTGCATAACTTAGGTGTGAACTTCTTGTTGTAGCCGGTCATATAAACAGGCTCACACACAAGACCTAACGCCTTCTGTGTGCTTCATCCATTAACTATATTGATGTACTGACTGGCTGTTCTGGGCCAGCTCCCAGGAAAGACAGGGCATACCCACTGATGGCTGGATTTCAGCGGCCAGTTCACCTTCCCGCACGTGAACCCGGGCGGAGGAGAGTGCCAAGGTGGATCCTTTACTCCTCCCCCAAAAGAATTCTTCTTTGCAGGTCCCTTCTTATTTATTCCCTCCCACCCCGCACGTCCGCTGTTCTGGCTGTAAAGAAAGAACAATCGCTGGTCGCAGACTTCCAACCTTCTTCATAGGCCTTGCGTCTCAGTCCATTTTGGACCTCACCTAATAGCACCTGAATAAATATAATTTTAAACACACTTTGTAACACTGTTAAGCTCTGACGTTCACATATTATTAGGTGGTATCATGATCTAGGTATAAGGTAACAGCATTTTCAGAGTTTTACATTTTTATTTTTATAATTATTCACTGGATCAGAGTATTTTATAGGTTCATCAATTTTTTAAAAGTAGTGTCTCAGTGATTGGGTTAGTCAATGGAATATTTGTTTTTTATACAGTTTAACAATTAAATGCCTTAAAGATTTTTAATGTTCGTTAAAGTTTTCTTTCTCCTTCCCTCCTCTCAACTCATTCTCCAGTTCTTTTACTAATTAGATGAGAATCAACCATAAAATGTATTTACAGGATTATGAGTGCATTATCTTTTAAGAAATATACTTTGCATCATTTCATTTGTTAAAGTTTAAATCCTCCAGAAATTATATTGAGATGTAGATTATTTGTTGGAGTTTCCTCGCCTTTTAAGACCTAAAAGTGTTGGTGTCATGAAGAAATTCTAATTTTGAACTACTTAACTACAAATCTTCATATTTTCCCTTTTTCAGGAAAAGCTAAATAACTAGCACTGGACTTGTTAACCCTCTACCTGCCATACTCACACTGCTTGCTCCCAATTTCCTGTCTGTAGCCCAGGCACCAGGTCAGTACCTCCCACACTTGCGGCCTGAGTTCAGTTGGGTGGACAGGGCTGGCACCATTGGTGGGCAGTAGGGAGAGCTGTGGGGAGTGAAGTTAGAGACTAGCTGGTGTGGCCTCTGCTGCACTTGTGTGGTGAACAGTCTAGACTCTCAGCAGTTTGATCTGGTAAATTTGAGGCAGTGTGTCTGGAAAGTCTTGAGAAAGAGAGACAGTGGAGGGACCTGTGGTTGCACATGAGCAAGAGGCTGCGTAGCAGAGCTATGAGGTTTTCAAATATTAGCCAATTACATAAAATTGAAAAATAGGAGCTGCTTCTCCCTCATTCTCCCCTCCCGTTTAGGCCTCCCCATCCCTTTCCTTGAAAGGACTGCATGACCCTAGGGCTCTAGGCTCTGTGCCTCCTAACAGCAGATGTCTATGGAGATAGTCTCCTCCATTCCCTGCAGTCACATTACCTAAAGTTAGCGGTGTATGGGAGAAATCTTTAACTTTGGTGACTTGGCTCTGGGAAAGCCTGATCTTAGACTATGTTATTGTGCTTTGCTTTGAGTTTTTTTTATCCAGTAAATGATATGTGATATTTCTGAATTATTAAAAATTCTCAATAGAATAAGAGTAATTGATTTTTATGTAAAATAATAGTGAATTGAAAGTATTGGAAGTTTTTGGTTTGTGTCAGGTAGGCTTAATGGTGAACCCATTTGCCTTTTTATTCTAAATCATTTAAGACATTACAAATATTTTTCTTCATCAGGTAATTTCGTCAATTTTAAAGTAAGTTTTGGGAATCCTGTTCTGCATTTATTAAAACCAGCAGAACCCATTAGAAATTTGGCAAAATTGGGGATATATATTTTAATTAATGTTGGAATATGTATAAATAAGAACTTTGCAGGAGGGGTTGTGCTCATTGATTCGCTATTTCTCTAAATGAAAAGTAACCCAGAGTTTTGCTGTACTTGAAGCTCTGTTTTAGGGCATTTCGTAGTTTAAAATATAAAAAATGTCATGGGCATGGTTTCCATTGCTCTGCAATGTAAATGGTGATCATTACACATGATAAGGACCTAGTGGGAAACAATAAGCATTTATATAGAATTTTTAAAACTTTATTTTGAGATGATTATAGATTCACATACAGTTGTAAGGATAATACAGAGAAATCCTGTAGACCCTTCACCCAGTTTTCCCCAGTGATAGCTCCTTGCAAAACTATAGTATAAGCAGGAGATTACATTGATAAAATTCATCCACCTAATTCAGATTGTACCAGTTTTACATACATTCCTCGGTGTGTGTCTAGATTTGCACATTTCTGTCACATGTAGATTTGTGCGACCACTACCACTGTCAAGACACGGAACATTTCTGTCCCACAGGGTCCCTTCTGTTGCTTTGTTATAGCCACAGCTACCCCCTCCTCCTTCCTGATAATTACTATCTATTCTCCAGCTCTATAGTTTGTCATTTTAAGAATGTCGTATAAGTGGAATCGTATCGTGTGTGTGATAAGCTCTCCTCACTCAGCCTTCAGATCTTCCTAGGTTGTACATATCAGTAGTTCAAAATATGGAAATTTGGAGAATTCCTTATAGAAACAACAAACTTAAAGTGTCTTTTTGTTTAATTAAAAATAACAATAATGAAAAACACTGAATCTAAAAATGTTTACTATTTACTCAAGAAAAAGCATGCTACAATTTAGTAGTTCATTGGATTTGGTAGCTAAGTTTGAAGAGAAAATAAAATGAGTTTATGGAAAAGGAATGATTCATATTTTAAGGTTCTATAAATATCAGTTTCATGTTGATGATAAAAGCTTATTTCAGTGGAAATAGTTTGACTACAACTAAAATTCTCAAAGTTGTCTCATAAAAATTAATAACTCTCTTGGGTATTATAGGTAGAGGGATAAATTTCATTTCAGGAACTTGTTTGAGAAAAGAACCAGAAGCGTACAGAGGGATGTTATGCACAAACTATGCAGGAGGTTATTTTTCTGAAGTTTAAAATCCATAAGAAAGTCACTTTTAGGGGAAGCATTAAGGAAACATCTGAAATTTCTGCCTTGATTCTGAAATGGATACTAAAAGTGTATACTTCTGAAGTACAATTGAATTCTTTCTCTTTTGGAGCAATAGATACTTAGCAATTAAATGAGTCATTAAAATAACAGATCAACTATATTGCTAGGTATTACTATGACTAGTTAATCCTTTATTTACTTTTAAGGTGGAAACATTTACTTACAGTTGTATTTAAACTGTAGCAACAGCAAGTTCTCATTTATCCTACCTTGTTAGAAAGTGAACTATTCTAGGTAAGTGAATTTTCTGTGTAATATTAGGAGCGAAGTGTCTAAAATTGTACTAACATTGAACAGTTTCCTGAATTTTTAACCAGAATATAGTCTTCTCTTAGCGACTTTTGATTGTCATTCTGAATATTGGTGGCTCTTCTGCTCTCTAGTAGTGGTATTTTCAGGATCTGTTGAAGTGCATAAAACAGTTCACCTCTTAGGTTACTTGGGCTGCTAGTCTTTGCTGAGTTCTCGTGCTTCTTTTTCCTAAACTCTGTTTTGTCTTCACTTTCTGTTGGCTGTCATTTCTTGCTTTGGTTAGAATTCCATCTCTAGAAATACCACCTTTTTTTATTTTTGCTGCATCTAATCTGCTTTGCCTCGGAAACCAGATTAAACTGATTAGAACTGGGATTACCAGTTAAAGTATAGTTATATATTTTAGTAAACATTTCAAGGTAGGTGAAATATTGGGATATTTGACAGTCGAGTAGGAATTCCTAACAGGGTAATCCATTGGATGCTGCTATTAAGAATGATTAGGTAGTATATATGAAAGTTTTGTTTCCTTTAGCTACAAATCCTGTGTAAATTAGGTTTGTTGTGTTTTCTTTTTGGCCTAACTACTTGTGCCCAGTGCATTCCTAATTGCCAGGTTCAGTGTATATTTTTTAGGGTATATCTTACTGGCCTCTCTTGGATTTGTTACTTCTTCCTTCTTTAGTCTATTTTACTACTTCTGAGGTCATTCTTTCTTAGTGACCTTCTGACACAGCTGCCCCTGCTCCTTGATAAGGCTCTCCTCTGGGGGACACAGCCCTACCTATTGCTTATTATAATCTTTTCACACCACA